AGTGGGAGACAACTGATCAAATACATGTTGCTCTACTGTCAGAGTGCCACGTGCGGTATTTACTCTCGCTTTTGGTTTTGGGGACGGCTCAGCAGATGCTGGGTGCGCTGTCAGCCAGAGCCAGGGCACGACTAAGCCTTTCTGCGGGAATTCACAGGATGAGCCGTTCCCACAACATGTCAGTAGGTGGCAAAAAGCTACAACCCTTGTGCTAAGCAAGAAATAAATATTTTTTTCTGCTCCTGGAAGAGCGGGAGGCATCTGTGGGCAGCTCTGTCCCACCGGTGGAGATGGATGGTGTTCCTCCTGGGCCAGGGATCCCTGCACCAGCACTGTGGGGAGGGAGGGGACATCCCATACAGGGCAACATCCCATGCAGGGAGCAGGTGAAGAGGCTCAGAAGAGAAGCGGGAGTTGCCTCTCTGCTCTTAATTCATCACCCTTGTGCCATCTCTTGGCCTTGCTCAGGAATTATTTAAAGAAATCTGGAAACCGTAAGGGCTTAATCGCAATTTCCAGGATTGGAAAACAAGAGGTTTAGGGCTGTGCTATCGCGGCACAGTCTGAGGTTACCTAGCTAGACAAATGAAAACGTGCCACGGTTGGTATTTTTCAAGGTGATGATAACGCTTTAATCTTCGTGTGCAGCCTGAAACGGAGCTGCTCAAGTCGATGTTCTTGGGCGCTTTTCTCTCGCGGCTTTGTGTAAGCAGATGGAAGCAATCCCAGTTGCCTGCCACACACCTTCCAGTGAGGCAGGGCAGAGAAAGGGTTTAGTAAGGCTGGTGGGTATGTCCCAGTGCCTTTGATGGTGGGTTTTTTTTCTGCGTTTTGAATGTGTGCAGGTATTGGGGAAGGGAGGGTGTTGCGTGATGCTGAAAACCTGCATTCCCGAGGTGGTCAAATACTCTGAGCACCAGGTGGGACAGAGCCCAGGAAGGTCAGAAAATCACATTAATCCAGACTACTCAATGAGATCCAGTTACAGCGTGGCTTTGTTCAACTTTATTTACCTAACAGCTCTCTTTACTAAGCATAAGTAAATCATTTTTTCTGCTCAGGAACAATAACAGAGATATTGCAGCAACCCTGGCTGCAAGGTCTCTGAAATACCTTCCTGCTTTTTTTAAATACAGAGGGAAGGTTCATCAACATTTCCTCTTATAAGCTGCACATTTAATTGCTAATGATTTTGCCAGACATTAACCACTGGTGCTGACTTCCCCCAGCTCGGTTGCCTGCTGCAGGCTGAGCATTATCATTTTGTTTTAACATTTCAGCAAAACTGGTTCAGCTAAACCCGAGCTGGAGGAACTTGTGTTGCTCTGGCCTTGTTCATGCCACCAATAAAAACATCCTATAACCGTTTTGCTGGGAAGACCAAATGTCCTTGTGCTTTGGGGCAGGGGTCTATCTGACCAACATCTCCCCTTTCTCTGGGGCTGTGCTGTTTGCTGGTACCCATAGCCACATCATTAAGTGCATAAAATCTCCATTTCCATAAGGGACCTTATAAATGGTTATAAATCTCTAAGGATGGGTGTCAGGAGGATGGGGCCAAACTCTTTTCAGTGGTGCAAGAGGACAAGGGGCAACGGGCACAAACTGAAGCATAGGAAGCTCCAGCTGAAGATGAGGAAGAACTTCTTCCCTCTGAGGGTGACGGAGCCCTGGAACAGGCTGCCCAGGGAGGCTGTGGAGTCTCCTTCTCCGGAGATATTCCAGACCCGCCTGGACGCGGTGCTGTGCAGCCTGCTGTGGGTGACCCTGCTTGGGCAGGGGGGGTTGGACTAGATGAACCACAGAGGTCCCTGCCAACCCCAAACATTCTGTGATTCTGTGATTCTTTGTCATTTTGGTGAAAACAGACAACGTGAATTCTCTGAAGGTGCTAAATCTGGGCTGAGCAGCTTCTGCCTCATAACAGCTCCTACGTGAAGACACGTTTAGCCTGCAGGATGGGTTCAGCCCTGCCTCAAACCTGGGTGGCTGCTGTGAGACAGTCACAGAAACACCTTTTCAGCTTGCAGGAGAGAGGTTTCACAGCCCTTAGACAGCCAGAATTGGATCAGACAAAGACAACTCTCCTCCCCCTGCTCTGAAATCTTCCCTCTTGGCTCTTTCTCCTCTGACTATGCATTGCTCTACACCACCAAAAGCAAACCCCGTGCAAGTTTCGTGCTCTTCATAGCTGGCTTTAATGACTCAGCCTTCAAACGATGAGTTAATAGCGAGCATTTGGAAGCCGGAGCTATTCAGAGAAAAACAGCTCTGTAAAGTCTTCCTTGCTGAGTTGCAGCACATGTGTTGTGGGGGGTATTTTTCCAGCTTCTGTAATCTATAGAAAAGTTGAAGTTTCGCTGTTAGTAATAGAGAAAACATTTTCATTTCCAGCCTCTGGAAGGATGTTAGAAAACTTGAGAAGAGGATGAGTTGCCATCTGTGTCTCTACAGGTTATGATGAATTAATACAATCAAGAGCGGCGCAGTCAAACAATTTTGAGCACCAGAAGTAGAAAGCAGGTTGGCTGGTTTTATCGCCTCCAGAAGAGCAAATTTTTCACACTGTAAATTGATAAATTAATGCTCAGAGTCTCTTCTCTGCACAGTCTGTGATATGGATCGACTGGTCCACACGCTCTTCTCCGTGGGCAGCACTCTTCCCCAGTGCTGGCAACATGATTATTGGAAAACTAATCAGCTCTATCTGAGATAAATTGCATTTCCACCAATTATAGCTTAATTGTTGACAGATGGGAACACAGAAGGGAGATGTGTCACATCATTAAGAGCACAGGTGTATAGACAAGTGCCAGATTAATTGTTCCAGCCCATTAAATCATTGACCTTTTCAGCATACCCTCAACATCAAATTCAAAACTCTCAGGATATTTCCAGCTCACACACGATGACCGTGTTTATCAGCAAAGTTCTCAGGGGTGTTTTTAAAACACACAATCTCCAGACATGGACTCATTAGCCATTAACAGATCTCTTTGCTCATTAAAATCCGTTCTCTTCTTCCTCCTTCTCTGTGTTGGAGTTTGTTTTCTTGGCTTTTCAGTGAAACCACACACGCCGTGTGGGCTTTCTTCATGGAGCAGTTTTCCCGGTGAAGCATGTAGACATGCTGTAATGGGCTATGCATTTAGGGATGTCAGAAAGAGGGAGAGGTGAAAGCAGGACAGAGAAGCTCTGTGCTGGACAGCTGTGCTGGAGGCTCTGGCTTTGATTTGGGGCTTTGGCTGTAATATCAAACTCTTACTCTGCCTGGGATTTTCAATAAACCCTGAGAGAGACAGATAGCTAAATACTGTTGAAACTGAGTCAGCCATGGGTGTCTAATTCCCTTAAATATGTGTAAAAATGTATCTTCTGCTCTTTTTCTGGCTATGTAATCCAGGAAGCTGAGGATGCAGCACAGCCACATCCAGAACAGCTTTGCAGGAGGTAGCGCGGGTTCAAGATAATGATGCAGGACATGCTTCATCTGTCCTGAGCTACCCAAGACCTGTGCTGTCCTGCAGGACTGAGAGCTGACTCCAGATCTTCTTGTTCCATATGTCCTGACTACAAAAACAAGAAGATATGATTTCTAGCTGAAGGAAATGAAAGTCACTGTGATGACAATCGTATTTGTTACCCCTGGAGTCCCGGTCCTGTGCCAATGAGCTGATTTGAAGATGTTTTACCCTTGAGTAGGTTTTAGAGAGAGCAAGTCGAAAGCAGTCTAGGGAGACAAGTAGAAGGTACAAGGAAGAGCTAATGCCCATCATCAGCTCTGCAGCTTCAAATGGAGGTAAAATTGATGCTGAGAATCAGGTAGGTCTTTCTCCCAGGGCCAGGGCTGGTGGTGGGCTCTCTTCCTCCCTTGTGTAGCACCGGCCCCCCACATATCCAGCTTGTCACGTTAAAATAACCAAAAGAAGCATAACTGAAATCTCAGGGAATCATTTTTGTATATGTTTGAATGACTTACTGTGTTCCACAAAGGTGATGCACTTTGACTGCAGTGGCCTTTACAGACCTGCGAAGACAATCAGAAAGGAAACAGGAGAACTGGGTGAAGTTCTCTCAGATAACGAATGATTTTATAAGGAAAAGCAGATGATTTTATGAAAAAATACAGTTTAGGAAAGATGGAAACTGCACAGATCTCTTGGATAGATCTGGTACCCTTCATATAACCATCTTTTTCAATATAGTCAGAAAAGTCAGGTTGCCACAGGGCAGCTTGTTCAAATTCTTGGTGGATGCAGCAGCCTTGACCAGCACTATCGGGATAGGTGCCTGCAGGAGATGCTGGAGATCCCTCAGTTTCCACCACTCTTGTGCAGCACTGAACCCTGAACACAGAAGGCAAGTAAATGAAAGCCAGCTTTTTAGAACATTAACCATATAACTGGAGGTTAGTGCTGAAGAAAGCATATGTATTTCAGTGTCCAGGGCAAGGGAGGAGAGGAAATTCAAAAAAAAAGTCAAAAAGGAATTTTAGAAATGCCAGAATATTTATTGTAAAGATTTCCTGAATGAATCATTTCACCTTGCATTTTCAACTGGATTTTTGTGGTTTAGAAAATGATATAAGGTCAAAAACAAGATAAACAGAAAGGCTGAATAACCCAAAGGCAAGCAAAACATGTCATTTCAGCTGGAACTTAATATTTAGGGTTAACCCAGAATATTTTCCAGCTTCTGCTTGTTTTTTTTCGCCAGCCTCGTCCTCCTCCCTCTACCCCAACTTCATTGTTGGTCCCTTCAAGCCATTTTTCGCCCAGATATTTTGATTGAGCCACATAACCCAGACAGTCATTACTCATTCCACATCAGTGATCTCCTCATTTCCAGCTGTCCTTTCCACTGGCCCATACGCCCAGAAATGCCGCTTACTGTGAACATCCAGTCTCCACCATCAGCCCAACCATCTCGGGGAGGGGGTCAGCCCCACCAGAGCTGGGGCTTGTTTCTTCCGCTCGTCCCTCTCACCCCAAGCTGTGCCGCTAAAAATCCTTATCAAAGAAGTCATCAAAGAGAGAAACTCTCTCTGTTTTGGTTCTCACAAGCGTAGGCTTGCGGTAAATCTTCTCTTCTCTTTCCCACTCTTCGGAGCCCGTGCTGGAGCTGTCCCAGAACAGATCCCTCGTCCGCGACTCCCTGCAGAACCACAGGTCAACCTTCCTGCTCTTGTCTGGAGACACTTCAGCCCCATCATGCTGCCCAGAGAGTCCTCCACCCCCTGTGTTTCCTTGGAGAGAAAAAAAAAAAAATCATAGTTTTATGGAGCAGGATGCCTAGTCCCCTAGGATTTAGCTGGAAATGGCTATGGGCAGCTGGAGGCATGTAAAGAAGATCCTGAGAGATCCCTGCAAAGACCAGACCCTATGCCCAGGGCTGGGCAGGATAAGATATAACATACCCAGGATTATATCTGGTGAAATTACAGAGTCTGGCAAGAGGCAATATGGTTTTATGCCCAAGCAGAACAGAGCTGAGGTGAAGAAACATGATGGAGCAGGAGCAGCCAAGTCTGTTCCCCTTTCTCCCGGTGAAAGTTCACTGGCAGACAAGATTTTTACTTTAATTTAAGCATTTTTACCCTCAGTGATATGTGTCCAGCCTGTGCTGAAGGTTGTCACGTGGAAGCAAAGCAGAACAGACTCGTGTCTCTGGGATGTTGGTACGAAGTGGCTGCTGAGATTCGCTTTGATTCCCCCTTGCTGGGGACAGTGAGGACACCTTGCGTGCCCTGGCATCTCCAACCTCCCAGCTGCTCCCCCAGCCTGTGTCACCCTGTGCCCCAAAGCTTAGATCAGCCCCACAGGTCAGTCCTGCAGATTTATGCTACGTCCATTCCTGGTGCTTGCCCACTCTCGAGGCGTGTGGGGGATCACAGAATGGAATCATAGAATCACAAAATCATTTAGGTTGGAAAAGACCCTTGAGATCATTCAGTCCAACTGTAAACCTAACTCTGCCAAGTCCACCACTAAACCTAAGTGCCACCCCGACATGTCCTGTAAAATGAAAAGCCCCTGCTTGGTGTTTGCCATCATCGCTGGCACACAGACCGTGCCGTGCCCCCTCCATGCGCTCCGGCATGGGCTGCAGCAGGGACACATGCCCAAGAGAGGCTGAGATCTGTGACTACTAAATGAATTTCACCTGATGTGTTTTTACATCAGATGTTAAAGGACCTTGGAGCCATAGCTGGAAATCATCTAACTGGTATCATCTCACCTTAATTGCACATCACCCAGAAGGATGCAAATCTGGAAATTGCCTGGCTCTGGGCAGTGGGAAGCAGTTTCCACATAAAAGTAAACGTAAAAAGTGAGTAACCTCAGTGCCTGTAGCATTTACCCCATGGCCATTAAAGGATGGCGGGAGTCCAGGGGCTACACCATGTTTATGAATGCAACATCATGGTGGACCATGCAATGATGAAGCCGGGAGCAGATCCCTGGCAGCTGTTGCTCAAGCAGCTCATTCTCCATTTCTTTCTCCTCCTGAGCCCAGTTCCAGCTTCCCAACGTGCCCAAGGGTGCTCTGCCAGAGAAGATTTACTGTGAGGTTAAACACCCCAAAATGTACGTGAGTACTCTCCTTTGGTCCTCCATGTATGTCAAGGAGGAGAGACAAAGCTGACTTTTACTGTGAGGTTCAATACCCCAAAATGTGAGTACTCTCCTTTGGTCCTCCACGTATGTCAAGGAGGAGAGACAAAGCTGACTGTTCTCCCAAAAATCAGTCTCACAAGGTCCCTGAAAATAACCAGTGATCTCAAATCATCCGGGTTTCCCTTTTGCTGCAAGGGAACATCACACTTCCTTTCTCCAGAGCAGAAAAATCTGAGATCTAACCAGCCTGGTGCAGTAGAGTAGCTCTTCTGAAGCCCACCCTGCTTGAGTCCAGCTGAAGATCTGAGCTGGCTGTTTGCACCATGTGCCCTGGTGTATTTTGCCAGGGAACCACGCAGTTGTGTACTCACCGATGAGTGCAGCTACCAGTGGCTCAGCCCTGTGGTCCCTCCAGGAAGGGACCAGCTCTGTGCATGCACAGGGCAATCGCTGGGTCAGCGTGGGGCTGGGGCTCGGCTTTGGCTCCCCAGCTGAGGATGGATGCATGTTGTGGTGGAGACTCTGCCAAAGAAACTCATGTCTCATGCTTGGAGGAAAGCTGGCAGGGCGTGTTTTAATCGGTGAGAGCCAACCCTGCCAGAGTGACCACTTCGTCACAGCCTATGTCCCCCTGAGCACACCCCAGGCTTGGGCAGGAGGTGTCACATGCTGGGGCAGAGGGAAAGGGGCAAAACCTGCTGGCAGGGTTGATCTGCAGGCAGTCCTTTCCCATTTTTTTATTCTCCTTCACCCCTTTGGCTGTCATGTTGGTGCAGCTTCAGAGGTTCCCCCCAGCCTGTCTATGTTCACCTATGCAGTGGTCTGTACACTAACGTCCTGTGATGCTTTTGCCTGAAGGACCCCCAGCTCTCTAAGGATGTGGGACTCCAGGGATGCCCTCTGTCCTCACACTCTGTTTGCCGTGCAGGGGAATGTGTGGGACAAGATGAGACTCTTCTGCCAGTGGGAACCTTCTCCTGCAGGGGCCTGGCCCTGAGGACTTGCTTTTATGCCCCCATGGCTGTTCCATGGTGCTTAATTCACATCTGCTCAGGTCTATTTGGATGCTGTCAGAGAAGCAGCCCAGAGACCTGGGTCCTGCTCTGAGGCATCCCAACGCTTTGCCTTATGACCACATCTCACTTCTTTCCCCCACCCAGTCTTCTGAACTTGCACTGTGTCCGTGCAAGAGATGAAGCTGTGGAAGCAGCTTCCACAGGGAAACTTCTCTGATGACTTTGGAGAGGCTGGGGGGTTTTACATTGCCTCGGAAAATTATTCTACTTACCACGGTCGTCTCCATGAAAACGCTGATTGCGCTCAGCAGGGACGAGGTCTCGGCTTTCGGCGCTGTCGCCTCTCTGGAGAGTGTCGAGGACTTTCTTCGGGCTGAATTCCTTGATTTTTTGTTTATCGATTTTTGCCTCCCTGTGGAGATTTCGCTTCAGCTCTGCCTGGATTTGCAAACGAGTTGTCAACACAAGCAGCAGAGGAGCGAACAGGTTTTAACAGCTCCATGCGGCATATCATTAGGGGGTTGGCACTGAAAATAATTGCGCAGTCAAGTAGTTTAACCAGGGCAAATGGTATTTGCCAAACTGGGTATGTGACAGAACACGACCCGGGCAGAGAATTTTTGGTTTCTCTGTGGGCCACAGCCAAATGAGGGCAAAGTGTTACAAGAATCAGAATTAATTACTAACCATGGGGACCCCAGGGATGCTCCCCACCTCATCTCTGCCTAAACCACCAGGAAAGCTTCATTTGCTCTTCCCAGAAGCAGGCTTTAAGCCTCCTGGTCCATGGGAGAGACACCAGGGATGGGCAGACCCCCATTCAAGAGGGGAAGCCCCAGCCTCTCCCCAGATGGGTCCCAGCGTTACCTCTTGGCGCCTGCGAGTCAGCTCCAGCATCTGCAGCTTGTGCAAGTGCTGCCGCCTGCCAGGGAGGTGCCTCAGGCTTTGCTCCCTCTTCTCCAGAGCCTACAAGGTGTTTAAAATCGTAAATGAATACACCTGCACTGTCTGAAAGAGAAAGGAACTTTCAGCCTGAAGAAGAGAAGGCTGCGAGGGGACCTAATAAATGCTTACAAATATCTGAAGGGTGGGTGTCAGGAGGATGGGGCCAAGCTCTTTTCAGTGGTGCCCAGTGACAGGACAAGGGGCAATGGGCACAAAGTGAGGCACAGGAAGTTCCGTCTGAACATGAGGAAGAACTTCTTCCCTCTGAGGGTGACGGAGCACTGGAGCAGGCTGCCAAGGGAGGTTGTGGAGTCTCCTTCTCTGGAGATATTCAAGACCCGCCTGGACAAGGTCTTGTGACGCCTGCTGTAGGTGACCCTGCTTCGGCAGGGGGGGTGGACTAGAGGTCCCTTCCAATCCCTACTATTCTGTGATTCTGTGATTCTGTGAACAGCCACACCAGCTCGCAAATCCATGCCTGGTCCCTCAGGCACTCCCCAGATAAAGGCAGCGAGCGTCTCCCGGAGTAGCCAACTTGTAAAAATTCATCATAGATTTCCTCTGCGCTTGCAGTTTATCTCACAGCTCTGGGGCATGATGGAAAAAAAATCTTCATTAAAACAATGTGTGCACGCTTCTGCCCCTGAAAGTGTTACCGCTTGGAGTCGGCCGTCCAAGGCGATCTCGTGATCCGAAGGGAGGGATCCCTTTTGCACGTTTGGGGTTGCAGGGGGTGTTTACAGCACACAGCACTTGCAGCCCTCTCCCTGCCAACTGCAAGCAATGGGTGTCCAAGTTGCTCAGCCATTTAAAAAGAGCGGTCCTCAAACATTTAGCCTCAAAAATATTTAAGGTATTTCAGTGGATGAGGAGGACCTGGCTCAGCAGGTCTGCCTCGTCCAGGGGCTGTCATGTTGGGAGATTCAAAAACTTTACTCATTTTCTAACCTTTCACCCACGCACCAGGGTTTCATCCGGTGCCTGGGCTCAGCCAGGGATGGGAGCGCAGCCAGTGTAAAACACCAAATTCTGCTCTTCAGGGTGCCCAAACCACGAGGAAAAGGAGCCTGCAGCCAGCCACGACCCATGCACGGAGCTCAACCCATGCCCTTACCTTTGTATTTGGGGTTGCAGCCACTTCTTTCTGACTCCAGGGCTTTGCAGGAGGAATTGCTAGCAGAGGGCTGGCAGGTTCAAGCCTCTACAAGTCCAATATTTATAACATTCAGCATTCCTTGTTCCACACAATCACAAAACTGAATATAAAACTGCCCTGACATTTTTCCAGCTCCAATTCTGGCCCAACTGCTTGGGAGATAGGAAGGAGACTGGCATCTCTAACATGCTCAGGGAGATTAACATTTCTTATGGTCCTTTGGGAGTGGACAAAACTGGGGGAATCTCCTGCATTGGAGTCAAAGTGGCAAAACCCCCAGTTTGAAATTGCTTTCGTCCCCGTAAGTATTTCTCTCTGAGTCTCAACAGTGCCCAGGGCTCCAGCCAGAGCAGAGTGAAGGCAAATCTCAGCCCAGATTGCTTCATGTCAAAGCTGAATCCTGCCTTTCCTGGTGGCTAATGGAAGTGGGCAGAGACTTGCTTTACAGACTGCTCTGAGCACAGCTTTCTGTCTGAACGAGCTATGACGGCTCCTTAAATTGTGCCAGGCTACTAGATGATACTGGGTCATTTCCTGGCTTGGTATTGCTAGCGTCGCCTTCTAGGATGGGAGCTCAAAAATAAGGGGAGCATCGTCAAGGACTTCATCAGCAAGACCTGACATACACTTGATGTGGGACATCATTAACCCCTTGAATATGAACTAGCGTCCGATAAATGGTGACAAGCGTCTGTCTGCACTGGACTGAGCTGTAATTTTGAAACATCTTGTAAGTCAATGCGGTAACGCAGGAGAAAAAATGTCAGCAGCCTCATGCAAAGGAGGCATCCCCCATCAGCTCCAAACGCCAAGTTCACATCTTTTAGCATCAAAAAACCCCAAAAAACTGAAGATGAAGCTTAAAAAATGGCACTAGATGGCAGCATGTGACACGACAAACTGCGGTCCAGGCTGTGCATCGCTCCGAGATGCCTCCAAGGCGGCCAGCGCCGGGTGGCTGAAGGCGAATCAGCTCCCGCATCTGTCAGCTCATCTGGCCGTGCTTGGTGGAAAAGCCAAATTTCAGGCTTTTGGATAAAGTCGTGTCGCAAGCTGGAAAATCAACTCTTTTCTTTCGTTGCCAAACCTCGTGGGATTTTTCTCTGGAAATGCTCCCTGACCAAAATCCTCTAAAAGTCCTCGAGAAGGCCACGTTATCCTGCTCCGCTGCCTTTGAAAATATCCCCACAGGGAGAAGGGCTTCTGCTGGGGCTGGTTACACTCCATAACAGAAGCACAAGGTGGGATTAACAGTGTTGTTGTCCTGCAACGAGTATTATCGGTGTTTTAGTAATACATAAATACAGCTGTAATCGAAATAATATCAATGACTAAAAATTACATGCTGGTAGGAGATTTTTTAAATGAGGCTACGATTCCCTGTGACAGTTCCGAGGCGCAGCTGGGCTCGGTCCAAGTGCTGCTGCCTCGTCCTCCCACCAAATCCAGGGACACATTATTCAATGGTTGGTGGCCACCCATGCTCTCTGAAGCCACCATCCTCGGCCAGAGCCGTAGCCTGGGTTTCAACTGAGCCTGTGTGGTGGCTTCTCTTCTTTATTATATTAAAAAGACCTTAATTACAGCAAAGAAGGCATGCTCTCTGAAGCCGCCATCCTCGGCCAGAGCCGTAGCCTGGGTTTCAACTGAGCCTGTGTGGTGGCTTCTCTTCTTTATTATATTAAAAAGACCTTAATTACAGCAAAGAAGGCTTGAGAAGAGCATCCCTGCTTCAGCGGATTTGCTGTTGTAGGACATGTGCAGAGGGTTCATCACCAAATTTTGGGAGAACGGAGATGCTCTCAGGGAGGAACAGGGGGGCCTCGAAGCAGCGCAGGGAGGCGAGATGTTCACCCAAGGATTTTAATTGCAAGGAGTTATAGAAGTGGCTGGGAGGGAAGATGATCAGTGTGGGCAGCTGAAGGATGGCTAGGTGCTGGTGGAACCCAGGGCAGTCCCAGGGCTGCTTGAAGATGCAGGGATGACCCATCACCTGCAGAGAAGTTCATAGATGGTCAGGGCAAATACATTGCTTTTATAGGTAAAACAAGCAAGAAGGGTGTTTGCCTCTATCCCCAACCACCGACCGCTGAGGACCCTCTCCAGCCACCCTATCTAGGCTGCAGATGTGCCTTGGGGAAGCTGGGTTTTCTCTTAGAGGGGACTCAGCAGCAGGTACAACATTGGCTTTTAATTGCTAATCGAACGTTCTGCCTAAATGAGAGCCCAGGGGTTTATTCCCAACAGGTGGGTGTTTCAGTTAGCAGGACACCCTGCTGCACCCATGCTTGGAGGGGTCTGCTCAGGTTGTCCCCTTTCCTGGCCCTGTTCCTTAGTCCTCTAAGCCCTGTTTGCTCTTGGTTTTTGAGCCCCCAGATCTGGGCCTGAGCCACAGAGAAGAAATGCAACCAAAAACCTCAGCTGGGGCTCTGAAGGAGGAAGCTCTAAGGATCAAAGTGGGGGAGCTGCTGCTCTGGAGCATCCAGAGTGGGGCTGAGCCTGGTGTCCCCGATGTCCCTCCCTGACCTTCTGTGGGCACGAAAGGAAGGAGGCAGAAAATTGCAGCCAAACACCAGCAGCTTTGCATCTTCAATAGCAAGCAGGTAAGAGGTGGGAAGTTGGAAAGAGTTGCTGGCTGGTTTGGGAGGGTGTGGAGAAGCAAAGAAAATGCAGGTGGAGCACAGAAAACAGCGTGCTTCTCTGGGTTTGCGTTTTAAATAACCTGATTCATGGCAAGAATTGTACAGCCCCGGTAATGCAGCTCCAGCTTAGCCCTGTGAGCATGTGATGGACTGAGCCTCGTCCAGATTTTATATTGTATAAAAGCATCAGTGCGTAAAAATATTGGCACAGAAAATGGATGTGGAGAGCTTCTTGTGACTTTTTGAAAAATGAAATAACAGCTCTAATCCTTGTGCAGCATGGTGCTCTAGCAGTGTTTCCTTTTCTTCTTTGCAGTAAATTATATGGATATAAACACATTTTTGGATCTTTAGTCAAGTTGTGATAACTCTTGGCGGGGATGGGGGGGAACCTAATTGCCAGGTCAGGCAGAGTCACAGGTTTCAGGGCTAAGAGGGGAAGGGATCTGGGAAGTGTAGGAAAGGGGGAAAGGGAGGTCAGGGAGGAGTGAACAAGGGTGTTTTATGTTTGTTTGGGGAGGATTTTTTTCTATATATGGATATAGAGCTGTGTGTGTGCACATGTATATACAGTGCTATTGAGGGGTGAAGGTGTACGTGTAGGTACACAGCATGCATAGCATTTCTTGAAACCTAAAATAATTGCTCTGAACTTCAACTGGCCTCTGTTGCAAAGCACATCGGTCTGCTTCACCTGCCTCTGCCCCTAACCTGATGCCAGACTTTGGTGGGATATTTGGTCTGAAGAGCAAGAACCAGCCCCATGTGACGCAAGTTGGATCCCTTCTGCAAAGGGCTCTGTCTTGGCCATGTTAGCCCCATGCGAGCACTAAGACTTGGCTGCAGGTACCCAGACACTACAAGGGAAAGTGGGTCCTTGCAGGAGAGGTGGCCTCATGGCCAGCGCTGGGACGTGTGTCCTCGCTGGGTGTCTCCATAGCACATGAGGGCTGGCCAGCAAGGCACAACCCATGGAGGCAGGCAGGAGGGGAAAGGCAGGGCCTGGAAGTGTTGGCCCCTTTTTGGCGCTTCTTAGAAGATTAAGTCCTCTTCCTTGTGCTAATGAACCAAAAATAACCTCTTTGTGAACAACATACCTGCTCTGCCCCAGGTATCAAACCTGGGCTGGTGATAAAGCTTGTCTGGGGATGATCACCTAGAGACAGGACCTCCTACCTGCACTGCTCTAGGATATTTCTTTCCCCCACCATGGTGCTGTGACATGTGCCCATGCCCCCAAGAAAAGCCACGTCAATGGGTCAATCGGAGCAACTCGTAGGAAGCTTTTCAAACTCGCCTTACTTGAGGTCTTCGAGGCGGGTGCTGTTTAATGATGCTGGTTTCTCCCTTTTCTGGCACGGTGTTGAAAGAAAAGGGCCCTTAAAAGGTAGAGAAGAAATGGATGAAGTTACTTTTGGTTGCTCATAAACTGCTAGGCTGTACTCAGCGATAGTTTTCTGCCCTATTTTTCAGTTGACGTGTCCCATGAAAATCTCTCTCAGTGTACCCCGGTAACACATAATACAAGTTATTCTGTTAGCTGCAGAAATACAGTGAGGACGTAGCCGCGCCTGCGGCTTCTAACAAATATCTGTCATGTGCCTTTGCTACTTCACTCTGCAGCATCTCATGAATCCTACGTGTGACAATAACCACTCTCCATGTCCCCTGTGTCCTCCCTCAGTGTTTAAAATGGGGAGCAGGCAGCAGTTTGGATGTCTTCTTGCTGCTTAGTCCCTGAGACTTTATTGTTGTTATTTTTTGGTGGAACTGAAAAACATCTCTGATGCTTTTACTGACCACTGGGCTACAGCCAGTGGGCTCAGAAATCAGTGGGTTATGGACAGCCAAGTGGTACCACTACAGATCCTCATCATCTTCGGAAATCAGCTTGAAATAACGTGCTACACCCCAGCAATTGCCTGTTAATTATTAAAGCAGTACTTTCACCAGGGCCTGAGCTCTTGGGTGGACACCACTGCCTTTATTTTTTTTTTTTTTTCCTTGCACATATAAATAATTGCATGTGTAATAAGTATTTGTTTTGCAGGAGAGTTGCTTTATTCCACCTATTCTCCCAGAAAACCTGTCTTGGTGTATTCAAATGCCATTTTATATATGGAGTTGAGCAAGGTGTTGCTGAGCAGCTCCGGCTCCCATGTGGTGGGAGGCAATTTGGGCATGAAGTGCAGTAGTTTACATTAGAGTTGATGCGAAATTTAATGTTCTATTAAAAGAAAAATAATAATGTGGAGGTCACCTAATGGGGGATTTCAGTGGTCCCTTTAAATGAGCCCAGTGGAAGATTGCCAAGGCAGGGCTCTTGGAAATGAGAGAGAGAAGGCGATGGAGGGAGGGCGCTGGGGTATGGGAGGACACGGTGACTCCGTCGGATAAATGATTGCTGGGCTCTGCTGAGCACCAGCAATGATTAACTGCTGAGCGAAGCTGCGGCTGCTTCATGCATGCAGGAACGGGCACCTGAAGTGAAAATTCCCAGCGCAGGAGGCTCCTCTGGAGCAAAACCTCAGCTGCCGGCGAGCTCACGGTGAAAGAGCAGCTTCTGATAGCAAAACAGGAGTCATGAAGTTATGGCTTCTCCATCTGCAGGGCAAATCAGTGCATAAGGAATTTCTAAGGGGGAAGTAAAACGTAAGGAGGTGGCTCGTGGTGCTGGGAACATGGGACCCAGCACTGGCAAGGGCCTGGGGCTTGGGAGAAGCTTGTTCTGATAAGGTGTGTGGCTTCGGGGAAGTTATTTCTCCCTCATGAGATTTTTTTTTTTTTAATATATATTTATTTTGAAGTTATTCCTTCTTCTCCTATCCATATGTGTGCCTTGTAGGAGCTTTGCCCTTATCCTCGCTGCCCCCGAACCAGCTGGGCCCTGGGTCAGGAACAGCCCCAGGCACACCTCCGTGATGCTGGCAGGGAGGGACCATCGTCCCACCGCACAGCTGCATCAGAAGGAGCGTGGGGCCCAAGCTGAAGGCGTTCTCCTGACTTTTATTTTTTGCCCTTGCCCTTCAGTAGCAGCAGATGCTCTCCACTGGAGGAAGTGGGATTTAACACAAGGCAAGATGAATCTGCATAAACCAAATAAAACCTATTCTCTTGGAGGCTTTGCTTATTTAGAGAGCAGCTCAAACTAATATATCGCTCAAGTACTCTTGAGCATACTTTTTTATTTCTGAAAATGATGACTGTTGAGGAGGTTTTAAAGGTTTTGTTTGGGGTTTTTTTGGTTTTTTGCTTTTTTTTTAATAAGAGTAGACATTTTATACAAGCCCTTGTTAAATACTCTATGATGACAGTATTCCAGACAGGAATATTCAGTTGTTCTTGCTGTCACAAAGTACTTGAGACCCCCTGTTGTACAGCCAGACCTGATCTGTGTTTGCCCCAGGCCCTCCGGATCCAGGAGCATCGCTGTTATTGTGGTTTGTTTCCTTTCACCTTCTCCTGGTGCCTCTCAGTCAATGATCCTGGAGGAAATATCGAGCCCCTGGTGAAGCAGTGATGCTTAACGCTGCTCAGTGTGTGTCCGAAATTCAATTTTGGAAATGCAGAAGAGGTGAGGAAGGTGCTAGGGCTGCAGATCCTCCTTCGTCCATGTTGGCTTCTCTCAAACCACGCTGGCGTTCATGGGGGTTTCTCCCTTCGCTCCCCTAACGTGGAAGCCGTTTGTCACCATCCACCTTGTTGTTCAGAGCTATGCATCCGCTTTCAAATGGGTGCAAACCTCCTTCCTCGCCTCCAGGAAGGGTTTGGGGATGGAGGGAGTTTAAACCCTGCTGTGAAAGGCCACAGGAGCGGCTGCGCGTTGCCACTTGCAGAAAAACACGCAGAGCTACGCTATTTCCCTTCCTCTGCCTCTTGGCTTACGAAATTAGCCCTGTGCGAGACATGGCTATAATTTATTTTAACGCTGTGTTTTACCTGCTGAGCACATTACCCAGAATCTAATTCTAATTAAGCTAATGATACTGATATGCCCCGTGGCAGCAGGTGAGCAGGATATGACCGGGGGTTATGGGGCTGCTGTACCAGGTCTTGCTCGGACGTAGGCTGGCGTCATCACCTGCCAGGGCGATGCTGGGGAGTGGGGCTGCTCCCAGGGGACGACTGATGGGAGTAAGGAGCTTGGGATCTGGGCTCTGGTGACAGAGATGATTTCCAAAACAGGCTGGCGGGGGAAAAACAGTGTTCCTGAAGCTAAAATGTCCTGGAAATCTGTAAAAGCTACTGATACAGAATGGCACATGCACAGACCTACACCCACCCTGCTCTGGAGCAAGCAAACCCCCAGCCCCAGCTGATGCCCCGTGGGTCTCTGCCATAATTTGTTGATGACCCCCTTACCTGCAGAGGCTCTCCCGTACCAGGTCTCCCGGAGAGGTGGAAGTTCCTGGTGCCAGCTGGGTTTTCCCCACTCCGCCATGGCCGGTGGGTGCGGGCTGGGCTGTCCCAGCACGCCAGGGATCTGGCATGGGGTGGCGAGAACGGGCAGGTCCTCCCCGGCACGCATCGGTGCCACCTTGGTCACCTTGATGTGTGCCTTGGAAGAGCTCAGGCCCATTCTGCTGAACAGTGGCTTTGAAAGGAGAAGGAAAACCCCTCGTGTAGCGTCCTCCCTGAACGCAGAGGGACCCTTGCGAGCGACTGCACCTCCCGGGGAGCTCCCTGCCAGCCACCAAGGCCAGGGCTGGCTCCCACGGACATGCCCACGTGTCCCTCCCTGCTCAGTTAAACATTGACCAGTCCCCAGCTACTCCCCTGCGGGGACGAGCGGTGGCTGCTGCTGGTGGAGGAGTGGAAAGCAGCTCAGGGAGCCAGGGCCAAGCCCCAGGGAAGCTTTGTTTTTTACCTGCAAGTGATTTTCAACCAGGGGCACCACCTCAGCTGGCCATTGGCCGACCTGGAGGTATTTCTACAAGCAGCTCTTTCGCTAAATCTTCAGGTTTTAGAAGGAAATTCAATCCTCAGACCACCAGAAGGGTTAAAGCATCTCCAACCCTGAGTGGGAGAAGCAGCCTGGGGACAGGGGCTGGGTTAGGAGCATCCTCCGCCCTTGCTCCTGCCAGCAGCACTGGTGGGGAAAAAAATGCAGCTTTAGCAGAAAACCACCTGAAAACATCAGTCAAAGTGAGTATATTCTGCAGGATTTGGGCCAAACGCAGTGGGATCGGTGCATAAGGGAAAGATCAACACATCTCCATTTGTTTTTTCCTTTCTGTTCCCAAGGTGCGAGAGGGGGCTCGGAGGGCACAGTTTCCTCGGAGTTGTAGGGAGCTCACTCATTCATTTCCAAAGTGGAGTGGTTGGAAAATATGTAGGGAGGATTATTTATGCAACAGGATTACTATTGCTGGGTGGGTTTTTTGGCATGAGTAGGGTTGCAAGAGGAGGTCAGAGCACTGCGGGCTCCGCTGTGAAACCCACAGAAGCCAGCAAACACCAAGAGTGTGAGGGAAAGCCCAAAACGGCATCAGAGCTGGGGTTCATTTAGCAGCAGCTCATCCCACTGGGATTCCTGGAGCAATCTTGTATAGGTTTGGAGCAATCGGGGCCTCTTTCGGCTTTTCTTTAGGGAGAGGAGTGCTGGGAGGAGGTTTGCGCAGGGGATGAGGGTCACGGCAGAGCCAAGTGTCCAGCACTTGTGCCCAGTGGGTCCATGGATGAACTTCTCAGTTACCCCTTGATGGAAACGGGGAGGTTTTGAGCTGCAAAATGCCACTGGACAGGGGTGGCACCTCCCTGAAGAAATTATTCATCCCTGGAGCAAGCCAGCTGGTTCATATTTTCAGCTTCAAAGCACCAACATCACTTGTGACTTTGCTTTACAACAAGTCACAGTGGGCACAAGCGAGCAGAGTAGCTTAGTCTGTTGTTTTTTTTTTCTTTTCAAACAAACATATAAAATCAACACCCGGCTTCCCTCCTGAGCTTCTCAATGCTTAATGTCTATTTTTACGATTTTTTTTTTTCCCCTCCTCCGACTCCCCTGCTGGGAACAGGTCATTCCTGTTAAGCAGCCTGGGAAAACTGTGAATCAAATGCAATGATGGATGTGTCGGAGCAGTGGAAAACCCATGTGGATGTGAAGGTAGTGCCCGTAGTGCTGTATCTGGGTGTCTCACCTGGGTGTGATGCTGTGGTTCCTGGCCCTGCTGAGGTTCTCGCAGGGTCCCCCTGCTCCCCATGCCACCAAACCCCCTCTCTTGGCCAGGTTTCTTTCCAAACCATATGGGTTTCCCCACCTGCTGTGCAGGTTGGCACCAGGGCTTGTCACACAGTGGTTTAGGGAAGGAGATTGCTAAGGGACACGTACCCAAGGCTGATACTGCTCCAAGCACTTCATCGCTGGGCAAAGAATCACAGAATGGTAGGGGTTGGGAGGGACCTCTGTGGGTCTTCTAGTCCAACCCTCCTGCCAAAGCAGGGTCACCTACAGTAGGCTGTAGAGGACCTCCTCTTTAGTTTGAAGGTGATGCAGTATCCTTCTGGCCAGTTCACAAGCGCCGGGTCCCACCTCCGCTGCTGTGGTACAGCTCTGTGCTACGCGTGCCCAAGGGTCTTAGCCTGATGGCACTGCTCAGCACCTCGATGCTGTGTCAGTTAAGGACCGGTATCTCCCAGTGAATCTCTAAAATCTCAGCATCTGTGTCCTTCAGAGCTGCAGGAGCTGCACGTTGATCTTCACTCTGTAGAGCAAGGAGCACTAAGGGCAGCCAGGAGCAGCGGCTGTGGGTTTGGGGTGGGGGGATGAAGGCAGGCTGCAAAAACGTTGCCCTTTCTGCAGGTTGCTGGGGCAAACCGAGAGCAAGCTTGGGGCTGGACCGGGTCCCAGAAGAGCCAAATGGTACTGGAGGAAGCTCCCAAATATTACCACTTGCAACTGCTGTGCTAAAATTACCACTTTGTGTCTTTACCTGGGTTCCCCACACTGCGGCTGTGCGGGGTGTTGGGTGGATGCTGGGGGTTTGCAGGGTGGAGATCGTGGCTATCGGCATCGTATCAACCTGCTCGGCTCCAGAGCGAGTGGTGACAGCACAAAGTCACCCTGTGTTAACCCCCTCTCTTAAACCTCCCTTTAACACCAGCCGGTGGTGTTTGAAAGAGGGAAGGGTGGGCTGAGGTATGCCCGAGCTCCAGGCTGCCTTCGTCACTGCCCTCCTGGTGACGTGAAGCTCACCCTTTCCTTTAACCTGGGGGTTATTTGCTGCAGCCTTTTATCTGCATTTAAGGTGCAGTTGAATTCCCAAGCCCTGTGCTGTAGAAACGTGGGGCTGGAAGGAGCTTTGGTCCCATGCGTTGCTGTTAGGGACAGCACGTGATCCCTCCTAGGAGAGCTGGAAGCTTTTTATACCTTTCTCCCATCTCATTTATTGCCTGAAACCCTCCACCACATTCAGCTGGAACCTATAAGCGATACTAATCTTGCCAGAGCTGGATTTTCCAGCAAATTAATTGAAGTCAGAATGAAATCATTAACCCCTAAGTGCTTTGATGCCCTTGTTTTAAGGAAGAAGCAGGGAAAAGCCCACGGGTAGGGCAGTGCCGTGACTTGGGGCAGGGCATTTTCCCACAGAGGAGCAGAGGTTGTTACTCACCCGCACATGCAGCAAAGGTGACCCAAGGGCAGGATTCAGCACGGGGCACCAGTCTAACATCCAACTGCAACAGCGAATTGCCTCTGCCTTAAAACTTCTCCTTAAAAATGAGTTTTAAATTACAAAAAGCACAGGCACCAGAGGACATAGAAAGTGGACAGCAGTGATTTCTGCCAAAATAATGCCTGGACTTTATGCAAATCTGCAGTGAGTAAAGCAGAAGGAACCGTAACGATGCGAATAGGCTTGTAGTTGTTTATTATGCTTGCAGCGCGTTTAGCTAGTGATAGCGTGAACAAATGGAGCCACCAAGAGAGGAAAATAATCCAGCACCATTTCACTGGCTGGGATACACACTGGTGTGGCTAACAGATCTCTGTTACACATCTGTAAAGTCAAGGAACACAGCTCGTTCCTCCCTCTGCTGCTTGTATTCATGGGATGTTCATCTTCTCCCAGCCAAGGCTGAGGATACTGGTGCTGCTGAGATAAGAATGTCCACCATCCCTGGTCGCTGGGGCCGCAGGAGAGAGCGCACACGGGCTGCGATGCTCGAGGCAGGTTATTCGCAGCACGTTTTGTTTTCCTTCCAGAGAGTCGGGCCCTGGTGTGAAGGAGAATCTGATAACGCAGCTGCTGAATCAAAATTGGCATTTTCCTTGGGTTGCGAATGAGATGGTGCAACTGAAATGAAACCCTCACGTTGCTGGAGATGATAGCAGGGCTCATCAGAGATGCCCACAGTGGCAGAAGTAACCACGTCTGATCGGTCACTTGACGGGCGTGATTATCGGTTTGTATTCCTCTGATGGATCATCAACACCATCATGCAAAATAGCCTCCATTTATTGTCTGATTTCTTGGGTATAATGGGTTTTCTCTGGCTGAAAGGCTGAGCTGAGCTCTAGGGAAACCAATTACCTGCCTTACTTAATAAGGAAGATAAATTGCAGGTTGGGCAGCGGCTGAAGGAGGGGGCCTTCAGGAATCGCTGAGCGGGACGAGCACCCCTGGAAAGCACCCGGGCATGATGCAACCAAGCGATCAGGTACCCGCTCACCTCTTGGGATCCGGGGCACTCGTGGCTACTTGTGCAGCCCCGGATCAACCCTCAGCGCCGAGCGCTGTACAGGCAGCAGCGTGGGGGAGGCTCGCTCCCAGCAGAGACCTTGGGTTGAGTTAGGCAGTGTCTGTGAAGCCTGATATGAGGAGGAAGGTGGCTGCTGGGCTCAGAGCTGCGAGTATTTTCCCCCTGTAGAAACGCAAGGGTGATCGCTGGCTGCTGGGGACGGGACATGTGCAGGGGCCGCTTTAGAGAGCGACAGGCTGGCACAGTAACGTGCTGTGCCCCTGGCCATGAAACATCTCAAGCAGGAGAAAACCGACTCAAACACAGGGATTTCTCATGATTTTCCCTGCTGAATGCTCAAGGAGGTTCCTTGAAGGATCCGGTCCTGGGCCTGAAGATGCTGCTGTGAGGCTGCTTGCCAAAATGTACTCATCAGTGCGTGCTAAAAGGAAATGATTCTTTTTCCCATGTGTTCAGTTTGGCAGGAGCTAAAATTTCAGTAAAACACATCTCTCAAAACTATCCAGTAGTGTCAATGAACGCAGTGACTCCAAAATCGACTTGAGGTGGTGCCCAAGCTGCCAGGTGCTTTTTGCTCTCAGCTGTATCATCCCATCAGTATTTCCTGTTCAACATAATTCATTTTTTTAGAATATGTTTTTAATGTCTAGCTCCTCTTGAAAGCAGCACACGAGGCTCTGAGCCCATCTCAATGGGGCTCAGATGCCAGAAGAGACTTTTTTAGAAGACCGTGCATGTGTGTACCCCAACCTTGCACCTCTGGGTTTAGTGCAAAAGGGATGGTTGTTTGAGTTGCTTTGTACAGCCCTAATTCTGCAGCTGTGTGATGGAAGAGTCCAAGTTTAGTTGGTGATTTTTGGTTGTTTTTTTTTTTAA